ATAGGGTGTGGGCACATTACCTTTTTTAAAGAATTCAAGAGGGTGAAGACAGCCAAGCAGGTTAGCATTTTATTACACATCTGCCCTTGGAGTGGGGTAAAAAAAAAATCCCTCCTTCACTAAATTATACAGGTGACCAAACTGCTCTGCATGCAGAACTCAGGTCAGGCTGGATGGGCTGAAAGCTCCTGAAAATTCCAGCCTCCACATTCTGCTCCCCTCTCACTCACACTGCTCATAAGTAGGTAAATACTGTGAGTAAATTAGTCAGTCATTTAAGGGAATGCAAGTTTATTCAATATATTTTGGTTCTGGTAAGGCTTTGTAAGAGGGAATGGAATACAAATTACAGCCAGAGAATTGCGGCAGAGGTGGGACATACCTTTAATTTTCATAGATTGGGCCAACACTGGACCAAACTATCTCTCCGTTGCGGTATGATGAAAAGAGACAGTGGATTGGTGATATTTTCTACATTCTATTGCAAGGATGAGATAAAGCTAATTTCTGAGATAAAGACTGACGGCTACTGTTCTTCATGTAGTCTTGATTAAGAAGGATTCAGACTGCAAGACCTCTTCATTATGATATATGAGCACCCAATTCCTAAAGGGCTACTTTAGTTACATTTGCTCCATTGTAAGGGTCCAGCGAGTAGTGCCAGCAAGACTCCCTGCTTAACTTCACACTTCCAGAATACATGTCAAGTTGAAAATATGTGTATGCACTTCAAGCATGGTGCTTTGTATCGATGTAGTTTTTCCAGGGTTTGGGAATCAGGAAGGGCCTTAGGGCTACTTCATATGGGCACGGCCCTGAGAAAGTTAACTGTATACCAAGTTTCAGTAGTTTCAGTAGAAAAGGTAAAATTATGTTTAAGCCTACAAACATATGTTCATTGCAGTAAGTCCCATTGAACTCAATAGGACTTAAACATTTTATTAAAAACAACAAAGACTCTTAGCTGACAATGTATTATCAATCTTTCATCTGAATACCCTGTAAACTTAGTCAAAAGATAGATTATACAGCATCTCAAATCAGTGCTTGGTGGATGGAAGATTCCAATCTTGGAGCACAATCTCTCTCCAAAGCCTTGTCTGGCAGGCTTAGCCTCTTTTCCCTCCCTAAATACATTTTGAACTGTAGAGACTCAGAGATACATATAGCTCTTCTACCTTTTGGGGTGCTGGGGGGGGGGAACAGAGCGGTTTGTAGATCTGGCTGACCCATTTCCTCTCCTTTCTCCAACCACTGGCACACCCTTTCTACTTTCCCTGTTCTTCTGTAAGATTACAGCAACAACCTCAGAAGAGGAGCTACCAAAGAGCTTTCTGCAGTAGCTGTGTGTCGTAGGGGAAAGCCATGATTAAATTTCCTGTTTTATGGTTGAGCTGTATCTACTGTCATGGAGTAGGGCATCTGTAGCATCTACGGCTCCCAAAATGCAAACTGAGAGCCATAGGAATGCTTTATACTTGGAATCTGAAATGCATTCGGGATGCTTTATTAAGCCTTGCCAGTATGAATGCCCTATGAGTTTGTATACTCTCAAGAGAAATCAAATAAAGCAAAGTACCACAACTGGGCAGAACGCCATTGGGGAACGAGTTCTATTAGCCAGAGAGTACAGCTGTTGTCTTTCAATAGCATAGAATCATTTACCCAAAACAAGCATTAGAAAAGATTAAAAAGAAACTAAGATTGAACTAATTTTATGTAAGATTGTTATTCTTTAAGAACACTATTCTGGCCTCTGAACTGGCATTTCAGTTTCCAGGTAAAGATAATGTGCATTTAGAACTTAGTGATGTTTGGCTACAGTTTACATTTAAAAGCTGTCAATTAAAAAGTGGTGCTGCAAGACACCATATAGTGACTTTAATCTTGCAAGAAATCTTGCAGTCAGGTCAGACTGATTTCTAATGGATAATAGCATATCTAAGGCAATAATTATAAAGAACATGTGTAAGTGAGTGAAGTATGTATTGTGTGAATGTAATCCAATATGCGACAGCTGAACCCTGGCTTCTCCACTCTGAACAGCTGCTAAATAGGTTAGCAGTGGGTTCTTCCTGTATATTTTGGAACATTTTCAAAACATTATCCACAAATGAATTCCTGATACATGGTTTGTTTTATCCATTCCCTGCCATTCTAATACAGAGTTGAGAACATATACTGTATATATACACAGATGCATTTTCACACAAGGGATATTTAAAAGCCAATTTCAGTTTGAGTGAGTCACTAGGCAGTTTCTCATCAAGCAATGTGAATTCTAAACATTAAAAAAAAATAAAGAAGTGCTTAAGACCTCAAGCACAGGGAAATCTTATTTTTTAAATTTCAGTAACAAATTAATTGCTGTATAGGCAAGTGCTTGTATTACCTTTCTGTACTTTCTGTTTTGAGGAATAGGGAATCATTATTGCAATAACTGGAATATTGTTCCAGTAACAATATTTTGTTAATAGAAACATATAATTATCCGCCTTGCTGGCTCCCAGTTGGCACGTTTATTGTGCTTGAGGTTGTTGTGTGCCATGGGGTTTCATTAACATTACAGAAAAGATAGTTGGATAGTTCTTAGACATCAGTACTAATGAAGGATGCTGTTCCACAGCACCCTGAGGCCCACACTATTGGGCAATCATTTGAATTTATGACTGGGGCCTGCAACAAAATGTTGTAGTATAGATTTCTATTTATTATTCTAGGATATTCTATTCCATTTCCTCTTCCATCACATTTTCTATTCCTTTGCATCCCTTATCAGCATTCTGTAGCCATTCAGTATCCTGCAACTTCATCTGGCTGATTTGGGGCTCCCCACTTCCCTCCCCCAATATTAGCATTTGCATGCATAGGTGCATTCACAATCCCAGTGCTGCCTTTTTGTTTTATTCTTTCTTTATTACATTTCCATCCCATTTGCTTCATAGTAAGGCTCTAGCTAGTAGTGGCAATAAGAACTCCTGCTTAACCTCACATTTCCAGGATACACGTCAAGTTTAAAACATGCACATACACTACAAACATAACAATTTTAGCTGACACATAATCATAGTTTACATGGTATATTAAAATCTTGTAAATGGAACTTTGCATTATTGCAGCTCGAGTCATGAGTAATCAAGTGATGGATGTGTATGTGGAAGTTTGTTATTACATGCAGTCAAGTTGTCTCCAACTCATGGCAACCCTCCAACGTGTCCTTTTCTTGGCAGCCCCGTTCAGCTCTTGTAAACTCACGACTGTGGCTTCCTTTATGAAATTGATTCATCTCATATTTTGTCTTCCCCTTCTTGTCTTCTCCAGGGAGTCTTGCCTTCTCATGATGTGTCCAAAGAACAATAGCTCAAATTTTATAAATTTTGCTTCCAGGGCAAGCTTGGAGGGCAAGCATTGCGGAAATAACCTTCAGTAATCAGTACATACCCCCTCCTGCTTCCTATTTCCAATTATTAGGCTCTATACCTGCAATCATGAAACTGGAGCCACCTCCTGGTTTTGTAAAATCAACACAGCCTTGAGATACCTCAAGAACGTTTTGTTGTTGATTATATTAATGTTCGGGTCAGGAAATGCAAAAGCACTGTTTGAAGATTTAGCATTGATGGAGCAACCACACATGCAAGTCCCACTTGATGAACAGTTATCAAATTGTGAAAATACAGGTCCCTGGAAGGGCCTGCAAATGTGTTGTATACAGAAGTTTCCAAGTTCAGTCCTGGGATCATTTTAGGGCTATCTTATGGCATTAAAATGGGCTATCCCATTTTATAGGAGCTGCTGCTGCTGCTGCTACTGAGCTAGCTAGAGCAATAGTCAGATTCAATATAAGGAAGCCTGGTATGTACTCATAAACCAGAGAAGCAGCTCGGCACTTTTTAACGGTAATCTGGAAAAACATAACCACAGGCTGGGGTGTTTTTTGTGCATAAATATTGTAGATGTCTATGGGATCAATACAATTAACTGAATCAACAGAAGCAAGCATTTCGAAGTCCCCCCCCCCCCCCCCGATTTCAGCAAGGGACATTAGGAAGTTTGCTCTTGAACTCCAGAACCGTAATGTTTAAGGCTGGGCTCATTAAATACAACCATGTATAAATTCTGTAATTTCCCCACCACACTGAAAATACACAAGTATGTAAAAACGTCTTTGTGCATGGTTTTGGTAGAGGATGCCAACTTTTATTGACATATGTACCTGAAACCACACCAACTGCTGTTAGCAAGACCACATGTTGGTATGATCTCTAGTAAAACCCTATTTATTTGCAATTTATCCATTACATTATAAATCACTCCCCGTAGCCCTCAATGTTTTTGAGATAAATTTCACACTTTATTAATGACACAAAAAGCCTACGGAGTATTTACTAACTCTAAAAATGGCGCATTTCCCACACGGGCATTGTACTCATGAAATAGACCCTTTTCAAAATAGAGAGCAAGTTGCAAACAAGGACTATGTTGTGGGCTTTATTTTTTCACGCAAAGTATGTGCCGCGCTTGCTTCAGGAGGCTTCTTCCACGCCTTGGCCAACGGGGGCGCGGATTCAAAGGACAAGCGTACAGCACCAGCCTACACCTGTCTACTCAGAAGTATGGCTCGTTCAGCCCAAGAGCGCTTACTCCCAAGTAAGTGCGCTAAGGCTCGGGCCCAAAACATTGTGCTGACACGCGAGGCAGCGCAGGAGCACAGCGGGCGCCGCGTCTGCGGGCTTCAGAAGCCGGAGGAGACCCGTTGCGGCGGCCGTTGCGGCCGTTGGGCGGGAGAGCGCGCGGGGGAGGGGCGGCGGGCGCAGCCGCGACCAATCCAGACCCCCCCCCCCATCGCTCGGCAGCCTGCTCGCTCGCGCCCCTCGCCTTCGAGCAGACCCCGGTCGGGCTCGACCGCGCCTGCGCGCTCCTCGCTCCCATCAAGCCGAATTCCAGGAGAAAGGAATGCCTGCGCCTGCGCATGCGCCGCGCTTCCCACCGCCTTTCCAGCTGGCGCGCGGCCGCGCGCGTGCGTGTCCGCGTGGAGGGAGATTTCCCCACCCCCCCAACCAACCTCCATAGAGGATAAGCGGCCACCGGGGCTGAATGAGAGAAGCGGCGGCGGCGGCGGGCGAGGCATCCAGCGGCACGGCTGCCCCCTCGGTCGCGGCGTGCGGGCTCGTCTCGCCTGCAGCGGCGGCGGCGGCGGCCGCTTCCCGTCGTCGGCAGGTGAGTGAGGGAGCGGAGCAGGACTCCGGCGGCGGCGGCGGGGCTCGGGCGCGTGGGCGAGGAATGCCCGCCCTGGCGGCCCTCGGGCTCGCCGGGTCTCTCGGGGGGCGAGCGCGGGCTTCTCCCTTGCTCGTCCTCCTCTCGCTGCTGGGGGGGCCCCGCTGGCCTCGCCGCCGCCCTGCAGGCGGGGGTCGGGGCTGCGGGAGGCGCCCTTCCTGTCAACGGGGTCGTCCAGTGCCCCCCACCCAAGCCCACCTATTTCCTCCCACGGACGCGAGGAAGCGGGGGGGGGGGCGCTTGGGGGCTGCGCAAGACCGAGGCGTCCCGGGAATCTTGCGCCGGTGTGATGGACGTGGAATTTATTGGAGTTTTTAATCCCTTGGAAAACAGCCCCGGTGCGAGGATATAAAGCGCAGCAACAGCAACCTGCTTCCTTCTCCCGACTGTAACTGCAAAGCTTTTGCCTAATAGGCATGTAACCTTTTCAACCGTAAATTAACCGTGGGCCCCAAAGAGAGAGAAAAAAAGACATAGATATATTCTCATCGAGAGTTATTCATAAACATTTGCCAATACAGGTGATTCTGTATTCGTTTGTGATATGCAGTAATTCTGGCACACCACATTGGCTGACCTTTTGGCCTCATGTTGTAAAAAGCAAAACTGTAAAGCTAACTGGTCTGGTTTCCTTTCCTTTGTACTCGGGATGTATGTTTGGGATAAACAGGCATGCACATACCTGCCACTTAGGTGACCTGCTATCATCTGGTAAATGGCTTTGGTTAGGAAAGTTTGAATGATTGACTTAGACTTTAGAGAGTACAATCCTATGCATGTTTAGAAAGAAAAAAGTACAACTCCTGGCATTACCCAGCCAGACATGCTAAAGGATTCCTTGTTTTTTGCCTCTAGAGTGACATGGTGATACCTGTGAATTGCTCCGTTCTGGGGCAGAGGTGAAATGTTTTTCCCATGATCCCATACATAGGTCTATCTAGAGTCCTCTCCAGACTGAATGAATTAACAGGTTCCACCCCCACTGGTATAAGGCACTGGGTATTGTTTTCCTTCTTTTCCCAAGCTTGTGGTAGTTTGTAATTGTCTAATTATGGCCCTTATGTTGCCCTATATTTGGGTATGTGATGGAGGTTTGTATATGCCACAATGGGTATGCTGTTTTAAATCTTTCACTGTCGAATCCCCCCAATCTCCTGAAACTAAAGAGCAAAAGATTATTGCTCTTACTTCCTTTCCCATGTTTAGGGCTAAAGGCTCTATCTACCATACACTGAGGAGGGAAGCCTACAACTTTCACAGGGTCCTAGTGCCTCTTAAAGTCAGCATAACCACTAGGGTTTAGCAGTCATTCGTCCTGAAAAAGTATCGGTTGTACTGTCCAGTAGCTAACTTTATTGGAAAGTATTTTTTGAATAGAGATAGATAAACAATAAGGTCAGCCCTTGCTCAGCTGCTGTACTGCCAAAGTACACTCATTGGAGGTCCATGGGCCCAGCTGCATCTGCCTCTAGTTTGGCTACTTGTTTGGGCCAGGTGATTCCCCACCTGGGGCTAGTTGTGCTGCAGAGCCTACTAGTTACTGATACATAATGAGCTGTAGTTGTATTTTTAGTAGGAAAAAGACCTGTTTTATATTTTATTAAATGCACTTATGTGAAATTAGTTAAGGGCACAGTCCTATGCATGCTTACACGGGGGAAAAAATGCTCTGCAATTCCCAGCATGCCCCAGGCAGAGTGCTGGAAGCAACATCAGCAAAAAACAGTCTGTTGCAAGAATTTGGCACATCCTTTCCTTCAGTGAATGACCCCACATAATTTCTATTCTGTTGATTCTGTCAGTTTGCCATGTAGATTATTCAGAAAGATAATTTTACCATGGTTACCATAAAGCCTTTGGGCTCAGTTTTTTGTTTTTTGTTTTTTGTTTTTTGAACTGATGCGCATGAAACCCAAAGGAATAGCTTGACACTTAATTCAGCAAGAAAACTTTGTCCTGCCAAAATGCATGCATGACTGAACAGGTAAGAGAATAAGGTGGTAATGGAGGGCCCATTGTTGAAATAAAAGGCCTGATCTGTCCTGTGCTTCTGGTGTGTGGGATGGCTAATTACATAGGCAGTATGAAAGTGAATGCAGAAGAGTTCGCCCACTCCCAAAACAGGGCAGTGTACTAGTGGACCTTTATTTATGTTTCCCATGATTAGGGTAGAGCTTAGCCAGAAGAGGGGAACAGGAGGGATAATGCAGGCTCTGGATGCTACGTTACCAGGATTAGTTGCTCCACAGGCTGAAGATTAGCCCACTAGGCCTCTATCTTTGGCACAATAAGCAGGAAGTTAAGCGAAGTTACATGTTGAGAAACAGATTTCTTAGGCATTTGCTTTTAATGTATTGCAGTGATAAAGTGCTGAATTTCTTACCTTGCTTACCTTTCTTACCTTTCTTAGTGCCTATTTACATGCAGGCTGCTGATTTTAAAAACTGTATCAGTAAAGCATTTTCAAAATGGAATATTAGTGACTGAATAGTGAACTACAGAATAGTACTTTTAATGTAGAAAGTAATGTATTGTGTAAGTGCCTTTGAATCTTCTTTGGTTATTTTTCACTTGGTGATTTTGTGCTTTGCATATGAGTAGAAGGGTTTTGAAAAGTGAGACTCTGTCCTAAAAGTCCGAACTCTGTTTCCTCTTGCAGCATACAGTGAGGCATGCAACATACTTCCAGGGTGAAATATAAATTTCAGCATGGAGAGAGTTAATATGGTTTGGTGTAGTTAAGTGAATGTGGTCTGTAAATGGATGTAAAAAGGGAAAACAAGATTTTTATCGCTAGATAATTTGTATCAGTGGGAAGTACAATGTATCTTTTGTATAGGAGTGTTTGGGTTTCTTTTAGGATGTGTGTACTTTGGACACTGGGATTTCCGATCATGAGGTATATGCAGAATGCTTGTATGCATGAACTTAAGTCACACCATTTCTAAATGGATCTTCATGGTTGCAATACAGAAGTATTGGATAGTGTGATGATTTAGCAAATAGAAGTTTAGAAGAGAACTGTATGAACAATATAGAATGGTAATTGACTACAATATAGAGCATTTTAAATCTGGTACAAGAGCTGACTAGCACTGGAAGAGAAATATAGGATGTACAATCTCTGAAATGTTTGTGTAGAAAGGCTAAGCCCTGTCCTGTAAGATGCTTTATCATATAAAGATAAGTCAAAATAGATTATAAAGAGAAAATTTGTGCTTAAAGTATATATTGGTTTATATGGTTAATCTGTAAAGCATAGATTGAAAGCGTGAACTTTCAAAATATATTCAAATATATACTCTATTAGTATTTTTCAGAAAGAACAGTCAGGTCTTGTGGCATGTCACCAGTTTGCCATGTTTTGCAACATAAATAAAACATAGGTCTCTGCCCTAATACAGTGGTACCTCAGCTCACGAATGCCTCAGTTCATGACCAAATCGGGTCGCGAACAGAAATTTCATAAAAATTTTGCCGCAGGCCGCAAACTCCGCATCAGGTGATGATCATGAATGCACCCACCTTCCCTGCACAGGCATGATTGCAGTCATGCTGAGAGGCGATGGCCACGATCGGATCGCACCCATCTCCCCCCTCCAGCACGCCCGTGATTGCGGCAGGCCTCTCCGCCTGAGAACATCCAGGATCGATTGCGCCTGGCTCCCCCCACCCCGAGCACGATTGCGGCCATCTCCCCGCCCCCCACACAATCACTGGTGGGGGAGGGGGAGGACCATGATCTTTGTTGTTCTTTGTCACTTTGTTTCAAATTTTTGTGAGTAAAAAAAAAATAGTTAACAGAACGGATTAACCATATTTATATTGACCCTTATGGGGAAATTTGACTTGGCTCATGACCAATTTAGGTCGCGACCAGAGTAATGGAACAGATTAAGTTCGTGAGCCAAGGTACCACTGTAAATATTGTTTTACAAAGTAGTGCCCTCTTACTAGAAGGAAAAGTGGTGAGAAAGATTTGGTTGCAACCTTTGCTCTTAAATATATTGGTTAACCTGCTATTTATTCTTCATGTGGATAACTGAGTTTTGCATCTGAGAGATGTCTTCCTTATTTCATCTCTTTCTAAAATATGTATGTGGACTGAATTTGCACTTTAAGTGAAAATGCAAAGCACAGGTTAGAACTGTAAGAAATGAGCTGTTAATTTCAAAGGTGACAAGTTGATATGGGGTAGGAATAGGCAATTGCATGGGCCACATGGTGGCATGCCATGTTTGTCTGTGTGCCCCCACCCCCAGTTTCCATTTCTATCAAGAACCTAGTGATTGTGTGGGGATGTGGGCTGTCGGGAACAGATTTGTTTTAAGATTGATAATTTTTCACTGAGACAGGTTAAACAGGGATGATGTCTTTTGCATGGCCTTTTCTCTGCAGACCTCAAGCATCAAACCCTTACCAATTGTCTTTCTGCTTCATTAAGGCTTCTGTGTTACTGCTTCTGCTTGACATGACCTTCCTTGCAGTCTTAAAATGCACAGCTCTTGTGAATTGTTCAAATTTGTTGTGTAGTGTGGCTGCTCAAGAGAAGGTTGAACAACTAGGGCAGGTCTGCATTAGCATCTGGGATTCTGTCTGGCCATCCAACTTCCTGGTGCTGATTACTGAAAGAAGAAGGGGAAGCTTCTTGGTAGCCTTGGGAATACTCACTGTGCTAGGGTACAGCAGTTCAGATTAATAACTTCCTATATTGCTGGTGGCTGCAAGATTAATTAGTTCATTGTGATTGGCTTTCCTTTACAAACCCAGCTAAAACAAGAATACATGCCATGTCCTGTGATGAACAGGCATTCTTCTGATCTTTTTGATTCTGAACTTGCTGCCTCTGGCTCCATGTTGATCTATTGTAAATAAAACATATGGGATTGGAGCTGCTCAGGGAAGTAAGTCAGTCACTGTGATATAACAGGGCAGCAAATAGC